CTACGTTTACCTCAAATCACCCACAAACAAATTCATCCTCAAAGCACGGTCTCTGATAACACAACGTCTTGCTCAGGAGAAAAAGACCGGCCGCCCGGATTTCATGGACCGCTTCCTCGAAGCACAGAAACAACACCCAGAAGTCGTCACCAACGAGGTCCTGGGTGGATACGTCGCCACCACTTTCTTCGCGGGCTCAGATACCACGGCGATATGTGCGCGCGCCATTCTATACTACACGCTCAGAACACCAGGCGTCCTCGCCAAAATACGAAGGGAACTAGATGAATCGGGAACCACATACCCAGTCCCCTTCAAAATCGCCCAGAACCTGCCTTACCTCGACGCCACCATCCGCGAAGCAATGCGCATGCACTTCATCGGTTCCATCCTGCTCGAAAGAGTCGTCCCAGCTTCCGGTTACACCCTCCCCAACGGCACGAAACTTTCCCCCGGTACCGTCATCGGTATGACTCCCTGGACCCTCAATTTCGACGAGCAAATATGGGGTCCAGATCCCGATAGTTTCGTACCTGAGAGATGGCTGCAGGGCGACGAGGAGGGGAAAGAAGCCTTCGAGAAGCGATTGGCCGTCATGAAGCATAACGATTTCTCCTTCTCGTATGGACCCAGGGTTTGTTTGGGAAGGCACATCGCTGCATTGGAGATTTGGAAGTTGGCGCCTACGATGCTTGGGCTGCTTGATGTGAGTCTGACACCCCCTCCCGCTCCCCCTTTGTTTCTGGGAAGAGTTTGGTTTGAGAATTTGGGATGAGGAATGGCTGACGAGGTGTTTAGATGGAATTCGTGTATCCGGAGAGGGAATGGAAGATTGAGGGATCGTTTTTTACGAGGCAGTGTGGTATGGATATGAGGATTAAATGGAGGGAGGGCGTTAACCGGAAACTTTATACTGAGTAGAATGACGATTTGATGTGTCTCCAGACATTGACGGCTTACGACCATCGTGTCCTAGTTTACCAACCTCTGATCAATATACAGCAGGCCGTCTAATTTCAACCTCACGTTCCTTGGAACTTGCTGCGTCGGTACCACAGATTGCAGCTCATCTCATCGAGCTTTGAACATATCTTAATCTCAACATCCAATTCCTGATCCGGTAAAAGCATTAGCCGCTGATTATATGCGAGATGATATGATACACAGAATCAAAATTGGCATGAGTGGAGCCTCATGTAAGTCGTCTTGTCAAAAGATATCCCTGTACACCATGAAGTTCAAACACAACAAAAACCGAGAGTTCTTCCAGTTATCCTTCTATCCTAGGGAGTAATCGCTCCTCATAAAGCGATGATGTATCATCGATATTCAGATATGAGATATGGTTGTGAAAGAACGTGATGGGCCGCCGCTGCTTTGGAGATTAGTCGAGAGGCGTCAGATCATGTCCGATGAATTATGTGGAAGTGGCGTCGAGGTCGAAGGGATTGATGTGTGGGCGTGGAGGTAGGGGATGAAATGTTGTTGTTTTTCATGAGAAGAATGTGGTGGGTTCATTAACAAGTCTCCTAGGTAAGCAAGTAGACATAACCAAATTTCCTCGTTCCATTCTCAGCGATAAGTCAACTCTTCCACCACTGCCAACAACGTCTCACCACAACAATCCTTCTATTTTGACTCCTGCGCGCCTTGCTTGCCATTCTATCTTTCAACGTAATAATACTACTCTTAAAAACCCACCTCTTTCCAATATCGTGAAGATAAGTGAGACCGCAACAAATTTCAGCTACTGGCCTCAAACAATGCAAATATATCAAAGAGAACCATCGAAGAGGACATGGTTTTACTGCTCAGACTGGACGTTGCGACTCGCTAATATATGAGGGATGTTTGGGGGATTCTGCGGACATGTCCAAGTGCTCCTCTATGGGCAGTGTTCGAATGGATTTCGGCTTCACTCGAGTCGACCGATTCTTTCTTGGTACTCGGCAATTTTTCCTCAATTCCTTGGCTAACCCTCGTCCTGCTCGCCGTTGTTGCAGTGGCGCGTCTTTTTCAATCGTCTGATCTCGCAGGCAAGCATTAAAGTGAGGTTCGGCATTGAAAGAGCACGACTTGCCCGTCCGAATTCGAATGAAGCGAATTCGTGTCGTAGAGTCCAACGTCTTGGAGAAAGGCGAGGAGATCGAGATGGAAAGTTTCACCGGGTCCAAGAGCGAGTTGGAAGAGCATTGAAGGAATTTACCTGACCTAGAAGGATCGATCTGACGCATCCGTCGAGATTGATTTATCATTCTGTATTCGTAATTAAACGCCCGCCAACTTGTCGTCACAGACAGGATCGTTTAACACTGGATGAATGGCGAATTGGAAGGGCAAGTACTCACGTTACTAGAATATGGTTCCGTTGGGGATCGAAGTGAGATAAGTTGAACTGTGAGCAAATCGGTATACTCGAGCCATGCATTGTCTACCACTCTGAAGTCACCATCCGCTGCCAAAGCCGATCTCAGACCAAGACGCCATACTAATGCTACAGTGTCCGATTAATCAGCTTGCCATTCGCTGACATACCCGCTCATCCGCATCTCTTATCTATTTGTAGAAATCGAACTTATCCGCTTCACTCGCACCCTTAACCTGGCTCGTGTATGCCTCCTCCAAATCTGCTTGGATAATGTTGTACCTATTTTTCCTCACAGCCCTGAGACCCGCCTCTTGCATGATCGCCGCGATGACGGCTCCGCTGAGCGGATCGTTCCGAACAATCAAGCTATCCAAGTCGACTTCGGGTGATAAACTCATCTTGGAAGCGATGGTGGAGAAGATAAGACGACGTTCGCGGCGGTCGCGCAGATTGGGAAACTCTATCTTCCTATCCAATCGACCTGGACGAAGGAGCGCAGGATCAAGGGTGTCGGCACGGTTAGTAGCCATGATGACTTTCACGTTGGAGGTTTGATCAAAACCGTCCATTTGATTCAGTAGTTCGAGAAGAATGCGCTGAACTTCTCGATCAGCTCCGGTTTGCGCATCGAAACGTTTTGTTGCGATGGCATCAATCTCGTCGATGAAGATGATTGAAGGGCTGTTCTCACGCGCCATACGAAAGACGTCTCGGACCATACGTGGGCCTTCACCAAGATATTTCTGGACGAATTCCGAACCAACCACTCTGATGAAGGAAGCAGTGGTGCTATTCGCAACGGCCTTGACCAACATGGTCTTACCGGTACCTGGGGGGCCGTAGAGTAGCACACCACGAGGTGGATCGATACCAATTTGTCTGTAGAGATCGAAGTGTGTGAGAGGGAGCTCGACTGCCTCACGGATTTCCTGCTTTTGCATGTCCAAACCACCGACATCCGCGTATGTGACATCTGGCTTCTCATCGGCGCCTAGCATGGCAATAGAGCTGTCAGCTTCCGGTGGCAAGATGTCGACGAGCGCATTTGAGTGACGGTGTAGGGCGACGGAAGAGGAAGGCTTGAGGAGTTCGCGGTCAAGGGTTGACAGAATTCGCACAACGTAATTGGATCCCGTGGATGATTGTACAATGCCAGTGCTGTTGAGGAGACGTCAGTGCCTTGTCCATGATTGCCAAATTCTATGTCTCACTTCTGATCGATGGCTTCCATGAACTGTCCTATCACCAAAGGCACACTCTGAATCCGCTTGATCTCTTCCTGCGCTCGTACAAGCTCACGCTTGAGATTCCTGATCTCCCTGTTAGCTGACTGCTGTATGTTCCGTGATGGCCATCACAGTTTCTCTACCTCTGCTCATCCTTGATGTATTCCTCCTGTAGCTGAATATACTCTAGCTGTCTTTGGAGCTTCTTGAATGTGGAGTAATCATCGGATCCTTCAGTTGCGAAGCCCTCTAGCGATTCGACGTTCGGTATCGATGAAGCGAACTGCTTCTTGTGAGGCGGAGTCGTGTTCAGCGGATTTTCAACCATAATGTCGGCCATCTTGGCAGTGAGTGTGAAGAGTGCAATACGTGTGGAGAGAGTAAGAGCGCGTTGAGGTATCGTTACTGGGTTGGTGTTTGATGGCGTTGTTCGGTGGTCTTAAACTGAGATGGAAGCTGGAATGCCGCGCCGGTCATTGTTGTATTCAATCACGTGCCTTATACAGTCTGGAAACGAACTCCAAACATCTTTGAATGGTACCCCTGATAAAATGATAGACGTGTATCCTTCATTTTATGATCTAGGGGTCAGATTTGTCGGCTTCGCTGCCAATCTCAACACGGATCGCTGGAAAAAACACGATATCCAAGGCTTTAGGCTGAATGCGAGGCTCAATGAAGACTCGGAGAGCTTCGCAAAACAACTCAATTTACTGACGGGAGAAAACGATTGCCTATATATCAGATGATTATGAGTGCACCAATCTGTAAGTTTCTCTTGCACAATGCACCCCGATTTCTGTTTTCTTCACAACTGAGGTTCACGCTTTCCAGTCAACGCGTCCAAGGCTGACACTGCACAGGTTTGCCAGAGTCAGGCTACATGCAAGGCGAATCTACTACTCGGATCTGCTGGTCAACATGCTTGCGATGACTCGATAAGTATGATTTTCTGGCAGGCTCGAGAAGATGATTGGTTCGCATTCACTATTCGCGAGCTCATTCGCAACTCGAAAAAAGGATCACGGACAGTGTCACTCCTTGAAACTTTAAACCAAACTTATTTCGAGCTATTGAAATACATGTGCCGATATGGTTGGAAGAACACGGACGATCCCAATAGCGCTGTACAGCCTTGTATACAGGAAGTAACCATTTCTATCAATGAGTTGTGGATGCTGATGCCACTTGGGAGAAGCTAGTTGTCTGAAAGCTGGTCGTAGAAACTCCCACTTCTCCAGTTCTATGCCTCCCTTCCTACTAGCAGTAACTCAAAGTATTGCCTCATAAAAAGTATGGTAAAGTTTACATGATTCAAAAAGAATTGACAGATCGACTATTGAACAGTCGCAAAGGATCTTTTTCGAGCAGCAAGGGGCCTAGTCTAGTTAGAAGTGCTACTCATTGGGATGAAGAGACAAACATACTCGAACCCTCAACCTTTGGTGATCAATTTTGGGCGAACCGAAAACCAACGCGCTACCATTGCGCCAACCACCCTGTTTTGTGATAATAAACTTGACGGTTATGACCATGTTGGAGGACTTGGCCCGGAGTCACTGGACTTGCTTCCGAACATGTCCTACAGACCACCACTTGCATTGAGCATCATGTCAGGAACCGGGAGTGCTTAGAAGCAAGAAGCTAATGCCAGTCACGGAGGACCTTTCAAGCGGCATGATGGCGGAACCGTTGTCAATCAATTCAAACAGTTCTTTGCACTAAGTCATGTTCTCGTTGATGACGAGGTAGAAGGAATTGGATGTGTCTAGAGGCAAGGAAAAACAATGTATCAAGAACCAACCTTCTCCTCTCGCCCAAAAGCCTGAGGAAGGCCAACAGTTGGCAGTCATCAATTGAGAGACAATACATGTAGTGATGACATTTGTGAGACCTCTCCCTATCCGAAGAGATCAAACCATAACAGATTGACTGAATCGCTGGCATCCAAGCTCTTCGACAAAAACCACAGAATCGGCCCTTGTCAAGGTGAGAATAAGTGATCTGTCTCCAAATTGATTTGCTGAAATACGTGCAGAGGCGATGCGCATAGCCATAACCTGCTGCATGCAGCGAGGCTCGATGGGTGCAGACGATGCAGCTGATATGTGTTCTTCTAGACCGCTCCATGACACCTGATTCGACAAAGATGGTGATAAAGGCCAGTCGCCCTTGACCAGTACTGTTTCCAGCGCTGTCGATGGTATTGCAGAGAGATACTCTCTTGAACGGGAAACCATCTCCTGAATGTTACCCGAGTCTTAGTAGACGAGCCCCTGGCGCCGGCGAGTCTGCCTTGATCGCACACCATTTCGCATGTCTTACCACGAGACCAGTCGGTTCGCATTGCCAGAGGCCGTGATGAAAAGTTGGTCCAGCTTGTCTCACACGCTTGCAGTAGTGATTGTAGTCGACCCAGTTGGAGCATTTGTGTCTTTGATGTCGACCTCCATCTCGACCCTTGCACGACAGATGCATGCATCTCTCGATTGTACTCCGTAGGATGTCTGCCGTTTGTACTTGTGAAATGTACAGCAGCACAGGGGACATGGATATCTGGGAAATGATGACATTGATGGTCGCGACAGCAGGAGAACATCGAGAGGCGATACTTTGGCATCTGTCTAACTTGCACGTGCATTCTACGATGGCCCCTAGTACTTAAGTTTCTCACAATTACTAAATTTGGTAGACGCGGGAAGGCAGGGTCAAACTCGGACGCCTCCAATGATGCGCTGCTCCCAAACAGAAGGACTCCGCGTTACGGCAGACGGCAATTGGGCGGCATCGCCGTCTGTCTGTGTTGCAGCAGCCCGCAAACAATTGGCCTGTTGCGTACTCCTGCTTGCTAGTCCATCTCATCCTTGGGAGCGGGCGAAGTCTTGGAAAGAAGGGCTTTAGATCTAGGCCAATACCAGTAGACCCTGGGCCTCCTCCGCCGTCAAACTTGGAACTTGATGGTTCGAAGAGATGCCCCATGAGGAGGCACCGTCTCTCGTTTTTTAATTTGCTTTTTGATTCGTACCCTCACTTGCTTTAAAGATTCAGATCTTTCCAACTTGATACTCGCCAGTCTTCGAGAGCTTCGTACATATCTGGGTTAGCAGGATCTCTCCTATCAATATCAGGTTCGCGAGTGTTGAGTCTTCCAATGTCCTTCTATGGACGTGGCCAGACTGTCACGAGTGGTTCAGCCCCCAGGAATGCGTGGACATAAGATCCATCACTTTCCTTTTCAAGCCACATTCCCTTAACCTACAAAGACCAGGCTCCACTCCTTTGACCTTGCAACCTAACACTCTCTTTCAGCATACCACATACCATCCTTAGGCTCGTCGTCCGTCCAAACTGGAATCTTAACCTTCAACCTCGAAAGCCTGCGACGAACACCAATTCAACATACAAAAACACTTTCTATTGCGCGACCAAGACCTCCTCCTCAACTCACAATCTCTCCGACAACAGCGTCACGAACCACAATCACAGCTTTCAGAGACATCACCATGGGTTATTCACCAATTCCAACTTTCATCATCGCTCTCTTGCTCGCTGGCTGCACCATTGGCGCCGGGTACTACTCCGACCTCTCGCCTCCAGGCTGGGAGGAGGAGGCCTTCATTCGAACCAAGACTGGTGTCCTCTTCTTTGTCACTATGCTCCTACCAGCCATCGCCACATTCCGAGAGGCAAGGCTGGGCCGCAAGACATACTGGACCTGATCGACGGTTCCGCGCTGCGCAAACAGGGGACGATTTACACACTACACCACATACAATACACTGGTGCTTGCATGGGAGACGTGAGCTCAGGAATACATCTGTCGAGGTGTAGGATACGGATTACAATGTTCATGGCATCTTCTACACAATTGGGGAAATCGATCGATCGGGAATAACAGGGATCTGGAGGTTCCAAATCTTGCAAGCTGGAGTTCGGGACATGCTTTCTAGAGAATTGAATGGGCTGGTGATAAAGTCAGCTCGACGCGCAGATATGCCGTGCATACGTACCACTTGCTCCCTTACTCCCAGTGATCTCGGTATTTCTCTCGGCTTACTCGAAACGCTGTGATGAGGATGACAGTGTCACACCACAGTCATATTGCCAAAGAGTATCTGTTGAATTATGATTATCTATGTGCTTATGTGAACATTCAATCGCGCATCTCGTCGCATCGTATCGCATCGATATTTGGCGCACTGCGGGATATCCATTCACGGTATTCTGACTCCCCTTCCCACTGCTGGTATTTCCGGGCCCACTCAAGCTTGATAATGCACCAATATGCCACATACCACAAGTTCTTTCAGTGATAAAGGAAGAGGCTTTCCGTATGGAGGACGAATGTAAAACCATTCCATGTTAACTTGCGATGAGACATGTAGGGTAGCCACTCTAGACAGAAAGGCTTGTCGGTTTGGCTTTCGGCAAACGATGCCTTTGCGTTGTCAAGGGGATCAACATGGGATTTCTAAGATGGAGAAGTAGAAGATGAAGTGGGAAATGAGAGAAGAAATCGTGTGTGGGCGGAATCAGCTAATATAAGCTCCGAGGCATCCGTATCTACTAATTTGTTAGTGCCTTCAACGGTCCAACCAGCCACTCCAGCCATCTCGCGTCATTACAGCATCTGCAGCTTTTGTTTGAGAGTTGCATTTACCTCTCCGTTCATTTCATTGAACAGGAACCCCTTCTTCCATTGTCAACCCACGATCGCTCGCTTCAGTTCCGCTTCTATTGTCCCCCGATTCACCAATTCGATTCTCCGTCCCATCTCCTGATATCTCGGCGCGCACAATTGTTGTTACACTCGACGCGCTCTTCCGGCATTACCGGATTTTTTGCGCTCTACTCCTCGCCATTCATACCGCCTGTGACACGTATCACAAGGAGAAATCGAAGCAGCGAACGCCTACTGCATAGAACAGAGAAAAGAGAGAACAAAACCCTGCTCAGAAGAGGTGGTGCAACACATCAGGAACGCTGTTTGCGACAAGGCAGTCAATTCATATCAGATCGACGCGTCCTTTGTGCATCGCTCGGAGTAGCCCAAGTCCAAGGTGAAAAGAAGCCACTGGCAGCGTAATGGCTCGGTCCTCATACACATCCGCGAGGGTGGTGCGGCAACGATACTTCTGGCCGCAGGGACAACTCAATCTATGGAATTTCGTCATGCTTGCTGCTGCGGGAACAATACTGGGAGTCTCTGCTGCATTTCTCCAAATACAACAGCAAATGCGGTTGGGTGTACCATGGTGGGTTTGGCATTGGACAGAGTTAAAGGTCTTGGATAGCTAATATTGGGTTTCTAGGATATTTCCCTTTGGCATCACAGTCGGCGCCTTGACACTTTTCTTCATCATAATTGAATTCATCCTGGTAGCCCAGAATCGATTACTGCCAGGCATTATGATGCTGGGAGCGTTCATACTCTTGGTTCTCTTTTTGACTGGTCTCATTGAGACGGCTATTCAGCTCTTCGGTGCAGGCAACGTCAGTGCGAACTGCCAGCGATATGTCAACAACAACAAGATATACGGTGTGAGTGCAAGCACGCTTGCGTGGCTGGAGCAGAACAGTATATGTGAGTTCATATGACGGCTCAAGAGTGATTGTGTACTAACACGGTCAGGCTCAAGCTGGTACGCCGCATTCAGTTTTTGGATTGTGGGGACGCTTTTCTTCATTTGGATGATGGTCATGTCTTCACAGGTGGGCAGAGGTCTATACGATGTTACAATTCTTCGTTGAAGCATTCTTTCTATTGAGTCTTTCAATCTCCTGTGCATCTGCACCGTTTCTCCCTTCTGATTCCTCGATTACACATTTGGTGAGAGATTAGCTGGTTCTGCTTTGTCTACGAATATCGATACTCGGGCGCCATGCATACTTATGGATAGCGTTGGGAGGGGCAAAAGGAGCTTGCCGAGTCTTGTGGATGGCGTTCTTGCGGGTTCTCCGTTTCAAGATCATCATGCACAGAAGATGAATGCGTTTTATACCAGGAGCAGGGAATGTAGCCCTACCGGCCGCTGGAATTCTGGTAGTGTAGATAAATGAGCCACGATAGAAGCAATTTGTATGGATGAACATCGCTATTAAAGAATTGTTCTCTTCACATCTGTTGGTGTCTCCCTGAGAGACATCCAAGCAAATTAGTCTTCGGCCTTCCCAACGAGAGTGTCTCAAACAAGTGCGGAAACCAAGCATATACTCAACCCAGCTCATCGCGTCAAGCTGAGAACAGCTCTCCCGCAGTCTCGGAATAACGACCATTTTTTTGATCAGATGCGTAGAGAACATCATCACCAAGAGTATAAGACAGCCAGGAGATGGAAATACCAACTCCATCACCACCTGCCAGAAAGCAGTTCCGGTTGTTTCTAGCCCCTCGCGTTAAAGATCATGATGCAAGATGTCTCCCTGCTCAAGCCCGGTCGGGCATGGGACACAGTAGCGAATCGGTCGCCTTGGTCGCGAAAAAGCAATTCCGTCTCTGT